CTGACAACCATGGAAAGCCTGGGAGGAATGATTGTAAGACTGGCCTGAGGCTTAGATCCCCTTGTGTTGTCTGCAGAGGCTGAGAATCATTATGTGCTGTAATGTCCAGTAACTGGGTTCTGAAGCTCCTTGAGCACCTCCAGCTCACGGGCAGGGGTGGGGGAATTAATGAAACAAAACAGTATTGGCTTTAGATTTTTTTTTTTTTTTTTTTTTTTTTTTTTTAGGACTAAAGCACTCGTATGCCACACTTTGATAGTGGGAATGTGTCATGAATGAAAAAGAATTAACAAATCACAAACAGTCAGCTCTTTGTGATCTAGAGAGGGACAGAACATATTAAAACCTGCTTCCACCATGAGCAGTAAATGCTGAACAGTTCATTTCATCTTCATCCCAAAGCCAGGCCTGCCCAGTGACCTCTGAACTGGAAGGAGCTAAGGAAAGGAAGTTGATACTTTCTGATAATTGTATCTTGCTGCATCCTGTTGTCAGAAGTCAGTTTTAGGAGGGGGTTGCTTTCCTGGAAGACCTTTATAATAGGCAGTGGCAGCTAGATTGCCAGGGTGGTGGGGAGGCTTTGCCCCGAATTGCCTGTCCCCTCTCCCCTTTGATCCTAGTTTTAGAGCATAGAGAATAGGCTTTGGGAAATTCTCTTCCCTCTAATACACAGATCTGATTAACCACCCTTACCACCTCCACCCTACTGTTTTCCAGTAAGTTTGTATTTGCAGCCCTTTAAACTTAATAAAGGAGAAAAATCATAATTCACTAACAAATCCGCTTAATTTGATTTTAAACCTCTGGAGGCTTGTCATATGGGGATACTTGTGTTTTTCTTCTTTGGGGGTTGAACATTCTCTTGGGGAAAAGCTCTGTTTAGTTTATCTTACCACCAGCCAGCTTCAAACTCTAGAGAGAGACTGATGGGCATTCCTTCAAAAAAGTTGCCTTGACCCCTCCTAGTTCCCTTGTTTGGTGAAATACGTTCATTCACTTTGTAAAATTTAAATTTGTGAGTGTGTTTGTGATCTAGTAACACTGGGAGAAAAATAAATCTCTTTAGTAGATTATTGAAAATCCAGCTAGAAGTTAACTTGACTGCAGAGAGAAGCGTAGGAATCCTGGTTTATCCGGCTTTCCGTTTGCATTGGCTTCTACATGCAGGGTACGGCTTTGCTTTCTTCTATAGAGACCTGAATGGGTCATATTTGCTGGAGTTCCAGGGAAGTCATAAACTTTGAGATGAACAGAAGGCAGATTCCCGAACATTTTCTCCCTGTGAGATCTGGCTGGCCTTTCTGGAACTGAGGGAGAGACTCTTGTTGACTTTGGCTGGAGAGACCTTGAGGGATATAAGGTTTGAGGGCATGCTTTAAACAAGGTTGGATAAATAGCAACATGCTGCTTTTTAGCAATGGCAGTTTTCAGGCCCAAGTCACTTCTTAATCCTGTCACTTTTACTGTCTATTTGATCTTTGCAGTTTGTCTCTCTTTAAACAATGGTTGGCTGGGTGTGGTGGCTCATGCCTGTAATCCCAGCACTTTGGGAGGCCGAGGTGGGTGGATCACAAGGTCAGGAGTTTGAGACCAGCCTGGGCAACATGGTGAAACCCCACCTCTACTAAAAATACAAAAATTAGCCAGCTGTAGTCCCAGCTACTCAAGAGGCTGAGACAGAAGAATTGCTTGAATCCGGGAGTCGGAGGTTGCAGTGAGCCAAGATGGCGCCACTGCACTCCAGCTTGGGCGACAGAGCGAGACTCTGTCTCAAAAAAAAAGAAAAAGAAAAAGAATGATTATGTTATTGAGAATAATTAGTGGTATGTTATAAAAGTAGTGTTTGCATCTTGTGGAATACTGCCAGCTCTTATCGTAGGGCTGCTCCCATTAGTTGGAAATGATTTCTATTTTTTTTTGGAAATGATTTCTTGATTAATTCCTTCTTCACCAAGTCTGCCTGGTTTTCCACAGAAAATATAGGAGGAATATTGCCACTTAGGTTGGGAACATTTAGACGGTGACGAGGTGGGCAGTGTTGGCGTGTTCTGCACAGACCCAAGGCTTTGTGCTCTTAATCTCCTTGGAAGGAGGCCCAGCATTCAAAGCAGGAGGGCATTGAACATTGCCAGCTTTGTTTGAAAAGCATTTCAGTGTGACGTTTTGTGTCTTGAGAGCCTAAGAAATGCTCCATTGGCAGGGATTGGGGTCCCGTCTAGCCCAGCATTCTCTGTCTGACAATGGGCACCCATTTGTGGGAAACATTCCTCATGCTGGCGGCCCCGTGGGCTTTGTAATATGCCCCAGCATCTCTGGCTTCCTATAATAGTCCACGGTGGATGTGTTATCCAGGAATTTTTAAAACCCTCCTTGAACCTATTCATATGTGCCAACTCTTAGGGTGACAGATTCCAGAAGTCAGCAAATATTTGAATACTTAGTTTATGCCTAGCACAGTGCTAAGCATTGTCGAAGATAGAAATGATGCTTCATAACTGGTCCTTGCTCTTGCTTGAGCTTATTCTTTCTTAAGGAGACAGGAAGATGTGGTTGCAGTTGTGAAAAGGATGGGCAGTGACATCAGATGTCACCTGTAGAACACCAGGCAGACCATGAGTGAATCAGACTCACAGTGACAGAGCTCACAGAGACTAATGTCTAAAAACAGAAACATATTCTTAATAATTTATGTTGAAAAATAAAACTACCAGACTCAACACTGATTTCTCCTCATATGCAAGTCTAACAGCCAAATTGTAATCAGAAGGCTGATGAGTGAATAATGGGAGCTTTAGTCAGTGTGATTGAGTCATTGCTTATGGCAGCCTAACAGCCCTTTCTACAGTATCTAAAAAAGCTGTATATTTGTCTTTCTGATGTCTTCTGTTCTAAACCTGGTCGATCTTTTTCATATGTTATTCCATTCAGTCCCAATAGTCCAGCTCTGTTTTTTTGTTTGTTTGTTTGTTTGTTTGTTCATTTTTGAGACAGGATCTCACTCTGTCGCCCAGGCTTGAGTGCAGTGGCGTAATTACAGCTCACTGCAGTCTTGACCTCCCAGGCTCAGACTATTCTCCCACCTCAGCCTCCTGAGGAGCTGGGACTACAGGCGTTTGCCACCACATGTGGCTAATTTTTTGTAGAGATGGTGTTTCACCATGTTGTCCAGGCTGGTCTTGAACTCCTGAACTCAAGCAATCCTCTTGCCTCAGCCTCCCAAAGTGCTGGGATTACAGGCATGAACCAACATGCCCAGCCCCAGCCCTGTTTTTTTGTTTGTTTGTTTTGTTTTGTTTTTGAGATGTTTGTTTTGTTTTGAGTTTGTTTTGTTTTGTTTTTGCTCTCTGTCACCTAGGTCCGCTAGGCTGGAGTGCGGTTCCACAGTCATGTCTCACTGCAGTCTGGACGTCCTGGGCTCAAGTGATCCTCCCACCTTAGCCTCCCAAGTAGTTGGGACTATAGGCACTCTACAGGCGCATGCCACCACACATGGCTAATTTTTTTTAAAAAAAATAGAAACAATTACTATGTTGCCAAAGCTGGTCTCAAACTCCTGAGCTCAAGCTGTCCTCCTGCCTCAGCCTCCCCAAGTGCTGGGGGATTACAGGCATGAGCCCCTGTGTCTGGCCCCAGCCCTGTTTAGAAAGTGCCCTTGCATATCTCAGCTCTGTCCATCTTAGTTGTTTAAGAGTTTAATGCTTGAAGATAATTGTTCTTTCCTAAATATTTTGAGAGGAGGAATGTGTATTGAATATTGATTCCTCCCCATCATCTACCTCCTACATATGCAGCAAACAATACAAAAACATGTAGGATGAAGTGCTAAATTATGTCGTCTAGACAACATGAACCAGAAAAACAAATCAGAGAAAAGAGAGGTCAGTGTGGGCTGAAAACGCTAAAGAAGGCGTCTGTGTGTGGCAAAGATGGGAATTGAATTCCTGCTTTAAAAAGTAGACAATTAGGGAAAAGCAGATAGGAAGCATGAAGCAGGAGTAACTCCAGGGGAGGAATGCTTTCATTTTTGTTGCTGCCCTCCTCAGTGACACTGAGTTTTTCCTTGGCTTTTCGGGACAAAGAAATCTATGAGGCAGTGGCAGGGTGTGGTGGCTTATGCCTGTAATCCCAGCACTTCGAGAGGCTGAGGCGGGTGGATCACTTGAGGTCAGGAGTTGGAGACCAGCCTCAACATGGGGAAACCCCATCTCTACTGAAAAAAAATATAAAAATTAGCCAGGCACAGTGACTTACGCCTGTAATCGCAGCACTTTGGGAGGCTGAAGCAGGCAGATCACCTGAAGTCAGGAGTTTGAGACCAACCTGCCCAACATGGCAAAACCCCATCTCTACTAAAAAAAAAACCAAAAACCAAAAAACAAAAATTAGCTAGGCGTGGTATCGGGCACCTGTAATCTCAGCTACTAGGGAGGCTGAGGCAGGAGGATCATTTGAACCCAGGAGGCAGAGGTTGCAGTGAGCCGAGATCATGTCACTGCACTCCAGGCTGGGCGACAGAGCGAGACTCAGTCTCAAGAAAGAAAAAAGAAATCTACGAGGCAGTATGAGGCAGTGGAAAGCCTGCTAAGTCCTGAGTCTCCACCTTAGGGTTTGGCATTTGCAGTTCCAGGGTGCCAGTGTCCACATTTGTAAAATGGAAACAGTGTCACCTGCCTTGTTTTTACTGTTGTGAGGCTTAAGTGAGAAGGGAATGCATGTGAACATTCCTGGTGCATAATAGGCACTCAGTAGATGTTAGCTGAATCTAAACTGAGTTGATATATTTGGGGAGAAATTTCCCCTGATTTACGGATTACCTGGGATACCCATGGTGGTTGATGTGACCCTGTCTAGAGGTAATAGCATGGCTTACTTACATATAAACTTCAGTGTACTGTGTCACAAATTTCTATGTACGCCTCTTGGGCTACTGTGGTTTTCTTTCAGTGGTCCTGTTCAGCCTTGTCAGATATTTCAGTACTAATCTAATTTCTTTCTTATAGGTGCGGAATGGCCACATCAAAAGAATCACTGATAATGACATCCAGTCCCTGGTGCTAGAGATTGAAGGGACAAATGTCAGGTAGGTTGCCACCTCTGTTCTCCCAGAGACACTGGATACTAGAGAGGCAGTACGTCGTAAAGGTTAATAGCACAGACTGCGGAGTCTGAGTGCCGACGTGAGTCCAGCTCTGCTGATTAGAGTTTACCTTGGGCAAGTTACTGAATCCGCCAGACCTTAGCATACTCATCTACGATGGGCAGAATAACAGTACATTTTCCTTATAGGGTTATTGCGAGGAGTAAATAAGTGAATATATGTAAAACACTTAAAACCAAGCTTAGCACATAGTAAGCAGGATGTAAGTATTAGCTATATTATTAACCAAAAGTATGTGTTGGGGTTGGGAGGGAGCAGTGTTATACAGCCCATCCAGTGGGTGGCCAGTGTGGTTTTCAGTGCCATAGAGTTCTCAGTTTTGGTTTTCTATCATTCGATGGCTCTTATAGACCAGAATTGAGGTCGTCTCTCATTGGAGGAGCTTCTAAGATCCACTCTCTGGCTTTGTTTTTCAGCTATTTTATTGCTGCTGTCTAGTCTTTTGTTTCTGGGTCCAGCATTTGTTAAAGCATCCACTGACTTAAGGGCTGCGGGATTCAGTGGGTGATGTGTCTGAATCTTCTAGATCTGCTTTGCAGTGTATCCTCTTGGACCGTGTGTTATTGTTATGCATACCACAGAGGAAGAAAGACAAGGAGTGTGTTTATTGGTGTTTCCTTTCTCTACAGCACCACATATATCACATGTCCTGCAGACCCCAAGAAGACACTGGGAATTAAACTCCCTTTCCTTGTCATGATTATCAAAAACCTGAAGAAGTATTTTACCTTTGAAGTGCAGGTAAGTATGTGCACATGAATGTGTCCACTCTTGGCTATACCAAAGAGATAGCCTTCAAGGACTTACAGGGAAAAGTGACCCTACAAAAGTATCTTTATCCTTTTGCATGTATTGTTTTCTGCTTCTACCGTAAGACCTATGCAGTCCTTGTTGTGATGTAAATTTGGTATCAAAACTTAATGCCAGGTTTTTAAAGAAACAGCACCTAGAAAATCTAGAGATTTCAAAGCATCAGAGTTAGCATGGTATCCATTTAGGGAGTGATTATTTAATACTGGGTTACTGTTCTCTTTTAGTATTTCTGATTTTTCAAAAGGAAGAACGTTTATGAAATCTATGAGAGCCTGCCGACTATGTCATATGTATGTCATAAGCAGCTGTTGTTGTCTTGGTAACAAACAAGATAAACTTGCTACTTCCGGGCCATCTGCATGCAGCGTATGACCTGTGTCTGGTCTGTTTATTTTCCTCTAAGTCTCAGCCTTGGGAAAGCAAGCTGTGGGAATTCAGGTCGTTGTCTGAACAAAGTCGTGTGCTTCTTCTAAGACAGAGCTAGTATGACGCTTCATCTCTGTTTCACAGGTACTAGATGACAAGAATGTGCGTCGTCGCTTTCGGGCAAGTAACTACCAGAGCACCACCCGGGTCAAACCTTTCATTTGCACCATGCCCATGCGGCTGGATGACGGCTGGAACCAAATTCAGTTCAACTTATTAGACTTTACACGGCGAGCATACGGCACCAATTACATCGAGACCCTAAGAGTGCAGGTACTGCTCCTTTTCCAGAGAGAGCTCAGACGGGGGATAGGGCATACTGTGTCTAATAGTGGCTTGTGGCGCATGTAGCAGAACAGTGTGGGATTCTGGCTTCGGTTCCCAAGTCCCTATCCAGTGAGCTTTGCCCTCACAAAGGTCCAAGAAATATTCAGGAGTCCGCTCAGGCATACAGGCGAATGCAGCAAATAAGACCCCCCTCTTGACAAAATCCACCCCTAAGAAAAGTCAAGGAGATGCCAGAAATGAAGCTTTTCCAGTCCTAGAAGCGGGCCTCTAAAAGATTCAGGAAAAGAGGGAGAACAGTCACAGTTAGCCTCTCAAAAGGAGCATTGCCTCCACAGATCCATGCAAACTGTCGCATCCGGCGGGTTTACTTCTCAGACAGACTCTACTCAGAAGATGAACTGCCGGCAGAGTTCAAACTGTATCTCCCAGTTCAGAACAAGGCAAAGGTAAGCCAGTCTTCCCCAGGGGAAGGCCCACCAGTGAGTGAGGGGAGTTGTGTTCCTGGAAAGGGTTCTGGTCTAAGAATTCAGCCGCAGAGCCTCTCTGTGTTGACACTTTGGAGTGCCTTTATATCGCAAGATCGTACGTCTCCTTCCAGCATCAGCACTGAATCAGGAATTATCCTGTGAAATATTCTGTTACTGCTGTCTCCCCTCTCCACGGTGAGCCTGCCCTCCTGAGGTGCTTCCTGCTGCTTCCAGCTCCCAGAAAATGTCTTCCATCTTAACTTTTTTTTTTTTTTTTTTTTGAGATGGACTCTTGCCATTTTGCCCAGGCTAGAGTGCAGTGGCACAATCTTAGCTTATTGCAACCTCTGGTTCCGGGGTTCAAGTGATTCTCCTGCCTCAACCTCCCAAGTAGCTAGGATTACAGGCGCCCACCACCATGCCCAACTAATTTTTGTATTTTTTGTAGAGACAGGATTTCACTGTGTTGGCCAGGCTGATTTCACTCCTGACCTCAAATGATTCCCCCTGCTACCAGCCTCCCAAAGTGCTGGGGATTACAGGTGTGAGCTACTGTGCCTGCCCCCATCTTAACTGTTAATCAGCCTGAAAGTGTTACCAGCTGATGGATCCCTGCTAACAATGGTGGGCGCCTGCCCGGCTGCTGCAGATTCGAGTCCATTCTCCACAGCCACTGTCCACTCAAGTGTCGTCAGAGACAGGAGGCCTGCGATACCATCTATTTTCTAGTAACTTAAACTGATGCTTCTTTTCTGTTTTTCCCCCTTCAGCAATAACTGGAATTATGACGCCAGGGATAGACCCTGGATGTGACTCTTCTTTAAAAAGGCAACTATCTGGAGGACGATGAAAAACATATTTATCTTAGTTCACTCTGCTGTAGTTCTGTTATTTATACTTGGTGTTCCTTGTCGTGGACACCGGTGAACGTGCCGTGACTCTGTCGCTGCATTGTAAGTGCAGTCCTGTGAGGGTAAGCAGTCCTGTGAGTGCCGTGGGAGTGCTGGAGCTTATTCTGCTGCCCGCCCCAGTGTAGGGGCAGATACCTGTACCCTGAACTCACAGAATTAAAGATGTCCCGGAAGGAATTCCAGACCAACATTTCTTCCTGCAGTTTATTCTGTGTTTTATATATTATCTAAATATATGTATATGGTCTGTAATACTCATAATCTGGAAATGAATAAAATGATATATTCCTGGTTTGTAAATTTGTTCCCAGTTTTTCTTTTTTAATGGGGACGTTTCTATTTCCTTAGTGATATGAAAAGAGAACTATTTCCATTGACCCTCTTATATTTCATGCTGTGCAATATCTTGTATTAAGTATTTAAAGAACAAGACATATTATGTAGTTGACCCTTGAACAACACAGGTTTAAACCATGCGGGTTCATTTACATGAGGATCTTCTTCCACCTCTGCTACCCTTGAGACAACAAAACCAGTCCCGCCTCCGCCTCCGCCTCCGCCTCCGCCTCCGCCTCTCCCTCCCCTTCCTCCTCCTCGTGAAGAAAACAATGATGAAGACCTTTATGATGGTCCGCTTAATGAATGGTAAATATGTTTTCTCTTCCTTATGATTTTTCCTTTTTTTCTGAGATGGAGTTTTGTTCTTTTGCCCAGGCTGGAGTGCAGTGGAGCGATCTTGGCTCACTGCAACCTCTGCCTCCCGGTTTCAAGCGATTCTTCTGCCTCAGCCTCCCAAGTAGCTAGGATTACAGGTGCCTGCCACCACGCCCAGCTAATTTTTGTATTTTTAGTAGAGACAGCATTTCACCGTGTTGGCCATGCTGGTCTCGAACTCCTGACCTCATGAGCCACCGAGCCCAGCCCTTCCTTAAGATTTTCTTTTTTTTTTTTCTTTTTTTTTTTTTTGAGACGGAGTTTCGCTCTTGTTACCCAGGCTGGAGTGCAATGGCGCAATCTCGGCTCACCGCAACCTCCGCCTCCTGGGTTCAGGCAATTCTCCTGCCTCAGCCTCCTGAGTGGCTGGGATTACAGGCACACGCCACCATGCCCAGCTAATTTTTAGTATTTTTAGTAGAGACGGGGTTTCACCATGTTGACCAGGATGGTCTCGATCTCTTGACCTCGTGATCCACCCGCCTCGGCCTCCCAAAGTGCTGGGATTACAGGCTTGAGCCACCGCGCCCGGCCTAAGATTTTCTTAATAACATTTTCTTTTCTCTAGCCTACCTTATTGTGTGGATACAAAATAGAATATGTAATTTGTACAAAGTATGTGTTAAATAGCTGCTTATATTATCAGCAAGGCCTCCAGTCAACAGGAGGCTATAGTAGTTAAACTTTGGGAGAGTCAAAAGTCATACATAGATCTTTGCATAATAGGGTCGGTGCCTCTAACCTCTGAGTTGTTCAAGGGTCACCTGTATAAACTGGCTCAGAACAACCCTGAAGACAAACTACATGGGAAAAAAAGTAGCATACGACCAGTGGAATCATTTTGCTAGGGATTGGGTCCTAGGTTGAACTTAAGGCAGAATGACATAGTGTAAATTGCACCTGAACGCCTTAGGTGCAGTAATCAGCCCAGCCCATCTTGTATCCTCAGCATTGGAGCAGATCACCGTTTCCCTATTTGAGTTCCAGCTGAAGTACTGGCCTCACGTGTAGGGACTTAAAGGAAAATGTTTCTTTAAATGCTGGAATTGTGCAAGGGAACTGGAACCTTACACTATTTTTCCCACTGCACTTATTCTGGGCAGATGCCTGTTTAGTGGAATGATACTGGCACTATTAAATTTTTTTTTTTTTTTCCTTTTTTGAGACAGAATCTTGCTCTGTCACCCAGGATGGAGTGCAATGGCATGATCTCTGCTCACCGCAACCTCTGCCTCCTGGGTTCAAGCAATTCTCCTGCCTCAGTCTCCCGAGTAGCTGGGATTACAGGCATGCGCTACTATTACCGGCTAATTTGTGTTTTTAGTAGAGACGGGATTTGTCCATATTGGTCAGGCTGGTCTCAAACACCCGACTTTAGGTGATTAACTCGCCTCAGCCTCCCAAAGTGCTGGGATTACAGGCATGAGCCACTGCATCCGGCCTTTTTTTGTGGTGTTAGGCACAGATGAATTTGCAAAACTTATGCACTTTATATGATGCTACTCTACCACATGCAACATTTCTGAGGGGAAAGCAATTTGAGGGCAGAGAAGAGCACATGTGGTACTCCTGTATCTTGAAGGATACACAACTAGTATAGTGATTACACATGGGCAGAATTTTTTTTTTTAATCGGTTTTCTTCTATAAAAGAAAAAAACATTTGGCCGGGCACAGTGCCTCACGCCTGTGATCCCAGCATTTTGGGAGGCTGAGGGGTGGGTGGATCACTTGAGGGCAGGAGTTCGAGACCAGCCTGGCCAACATGGTGAAACCCCGTCTCTATCAAATATAAAAAATTAGCCAGGCGTGGTGGTGTGCTACTGTAATCCCAGCTACTCGGGAGGTTGAGGCAGGAGAATTGCTTGAACCTGGGAGGCGGAGATTGTGGTGAGCCAAGATCATGCCACTGTACTCCAGCCTGGGCAGCAGAGCAAGACTCCATCTCAAAAAAAAAAAAAAAAAAAAAAAAAAAAAAAAAAAAAAAAAAAATTGGGTGGGGGAGATATTTTCGTAATAAAAATTTCAAAGTTAATGCAAGAGCAAAAGGCTATTCCAGATTCCGTGCCCTCTCACAGTCACTTCCCCTGGGTTTGCTGTTATTGCACAGACTGAATTATGGGCACCTGTCATTTTCACTTTGGTTAGAGGTGAAAACAAGTTCTGGGATTTGTCATTACCACTGCTGCCTTCTGAGAAGTTAAAAGGCATAAAGCACGCTTTTCCCACATCCTATCCTCCAGAGTGTGCTGTGGGGAAGCATGGCCAAGTCTCTGAGGAGGCAGGGGCTACAGGAGGTGGAGAAGTGGAGGGGAGGGCGCTCCACGGCTACCTGATGAGACAGCTGTCAAGTGCCTGAAACTCGGTGGTTGCATTAAGAACTTTCCCCTTGGCTGAGGGTGGTGGCTCACGCCTCTAATCCAAGCACTTTGGAGGCCAAGGCGGGCGGATCACCTGAGGTTGGGAGTTCAAGACCAGCCTGACCAACATGGTGAAACCCGGTCTTTTTTAAAAAAATAAAAATAAATAAAAATTTTAAAAATAAATTTAAAAAAAGAATTTTCCCCTTTCTCCTTCTGCCAGCAGCAGCCTCGAACCACCTTCTGCAGGATGCTGCCCCTGTCCTTTGCTGACTAGGGAGTCATCAGCATCACAGAACACCCCCTCAGCCCAGGTGACAGTGTGCTCTTGCAGGACCAACCCCAGTCAAAACTGAACGTGGTTGGTCCTGCTTCCCTGTCCTTAGCTTATCAGCTTCCCCCTGTTAGGCGATATACCTGTCTACCTCACTTCCTGGGTTACAGTAGGAATCTTGAAATGGCTGTGGGTGCAGGGGCTGCAAGCGTGGGGGGTCTGGGCAGTAACTGACAGAGCATCTAGTCTCTGACCACAGTCTAGTGAAATCTTCCCTCCAATCCGGACTCGATTATGGCATGAAAGATGCTTTTGTGGTGAAAAGAAAACCGAGTTAACTTCTCTTCTCTTCTGGGTGCCAGGATATCAGTGAAGTACTCCTGAGGCTTCAGAGCAACACAGCACGGCACTCTCCTCCACACAGATCCTCTTTCACCCCAGGCACTTGTCAGACCATGTCTGGGGATTACCTCACCACCCTCTTTGGGGTGGCAGGCAGTGACTTCCCAAATGCCTCGCATACCCATCCCAGAGGAAGCAAGAGGCCCCGGGGGTGATGGGAGGTTTTATCTGAACTGGCCCCAGGCCAGGGTGAATAGTGGCATCATGACTGCATAGCCCCTTGCCTGCAGCTTTCCAGCTCACCAGGAAGATGACAACCTCCAGGAAGGCTGAGGGAAGAGGGAATGACAGGCCGCTGCTGGGCTGAGGCACTCTCACAGAGTTTGGGCCCGGGTGATCTCAGATCACCGTAATTGGAGCAGGCAGAATTGCATTATCCAGGTCCTTAGAAGTCATGGCGTGTTTTAGAAGGAATTGCCCTCTAAATGAGAGCGTGTTAGGTAATTGGCATGAACTTGGAATAGCACACAACCGTTTCCAACAGGGCTCATTCTGGGGGAGGGTAGATTTACTATGGCCCTTAATTACCCCTGGCCCGTTGACTGCTTCCTCTATAGCTAGGCTACAAGACTGGCCGGCGCCACACCAGTCCCCTCCTGGGGCATTTCTGGAGATTGCAAGTAACCTGGAGAACAACCCCAAACTAGTGTCCCTAGCCCTTCAGTGTCTTCAGCCAGAAGTCTTAAGTGTTAGGAAATTCACTGAAAAAGATCTTGCAGTCCTTATCTGCATCCCCATCCCCCTCATTTTACTGATGAAGACACTGAAGCCCAGAGAGGGATGGGCTAGCCCCTCTAGAAGCAATGGGGTAGAATGAGGACCCAGTGCACCTGATGGGACCCATATGGCATCCCTGTCCTCTTTTGTGTTGGCGTCCCCTTGCCTCAAGCACTGGAGTCAGCTCTGCCTCAGCAGTGAGGGCTGGCCTGGCCAGTCAGTATGGTCACTTATTAGCTGAACACCAGGGTCTGAGGCTGACAGTAAAAAGCTCATTTGTGCTTAACCAAGGAATCATAAAAGTAATACGTGCTCATGGTACATTCATGAGCTCATGGTCCAAAGAATATGAAGGGCTGGGCGTGGTGGCTCACGCCTATAATCCCAGCACTTTGGGAGGCTGAGGCAGGTGGATCACCTGAGGTCAGGAGTTCAAGATCAGCCTGGCCAACAGGGGGAAACCCTGTCTCTACTAAAATACAAAAAAATTAGCCAGGTGGGGTGACACGCATCTCTAATCCCAGCTACTTGGAAGGTTGAGGCAGGAGAATTGCTTGAACCTCAGAGGTGGAGGTTGCAGTGAGCCAAGATCTTGCCACTGCACTCCAGCCTGGGCAACAAGAGTGAAACTCCATCTCAAAAAAAAAAAAAAAAAAAAAAGGAATATGAAGGTAAGTCCCACTTCCTATTTCTGAAATGACAGCACCCGAATGTATTAATAGAATGTAGTTGCCCTTTCTCCCTGCAGCCAGCCTCCTAGCATAAACAGCTTTTTCAGTTTCCTGATCACTGTCATGGGTGTTCTCCCAGGAGCCTGGGATGGCTTGGCACTGC